TAGAATACAACACAGGTTATATATATTGCCATATATATATTGTACAACAGGTTATATATATAGTCTAGAATACAACACAGGTTATATATATTGTACAACATATATATAGTCTGAATACAACACAGGTTATATATATTGTACAACATATATATAGTCTAAATACAACACAGGTTATATATAGCATATTGTACAACATATATATAGTCTACAATACAACACAGGTTATATATTGCCTATTGTACAACATATATATAGTCTAGAATACAACACAGGTTATATATAGAATATTGTACAACATATATTGTACAACATATATATAGTCTAGAATACAACACAGGTTATATATTGCTTATTGTACAACATATATATAGTCTAAATACAACACAGGTTATATATAGCATATTGTACAACATATATATAGTCTAGAATACAACACAGGTTATATATAGAATATTGTACAACATATATATAGTCTAGAATACAACACAGGTTATATATATTGTACAACATATATATAGTCTACAATACAACACAGGTTATATATGCGTATTGTACAACATATATATAGTCTAGAATACAACAAAGGTTATATACAGGTACAACATATATATATAGGTTATATATAGAATATTGTACAACATATATATAGTCTAGAATACAACACAGGTTATATATAGAATATTGTACAACATATATATAGTCTAGAATACAACACAGGTTATATATTGCCTATTGTACAACATATATATAGTCTAGAATACAGCACAGGTTATATATTGCCTATTGTGCAACATATATATAGTCTAGAATACAACACAGGTTATATAGTGCCTATTGTACAACATATATATAGTCTAGAATACAACACAGGTTATATATAGAATATTGTACAACATATATATAGTCTAGAATACAACACAGGTTATATATAGAATATTGTACAACCTATATATAGTCTAGAATACAACACAGGTTATATATAGAATGTTGTACAACATATATAAAGTCTAGAATACAACACAGGTTATATATTGCCTATTGTACAACATATATATAGTCTAGAATACAACACAGGTTATATATGCAGGTTATATATATTGTACAACATATATATAGTCTAGAATACAACACAGGTTATATATAGAATATTGTATTGTACAACATATATATAGTCTAGAATACAACACAGGTTATATATTGCCTAGAATACAACACAGGTTATATATTGTACAACATATATATAGTCTAGAATACAACACAGGTTATATATTGCCTATTGTACAACATATATATAGTCTAGAATACAACACAGGTTATATATAGAATATTGTACAACATATATATAGTCTAGAATACAACACAGGTTATATATTGCCTATTGTACAACATATATATAGTCTAGAATACAACACAGGTTATATATTATATATATAGTCTAAAATACAACACAGGTTATATATATATTGTACAACATATATATAGTCTAGAATACAACACAGGTTATATATTGCATATATTGTACACACATATATATAGTCTAGAATACAACACAGGTTATATATTGAATATTGTACAACATATATATAGTCTAGAATACAACACAGGTTATATATTGCCTGTTGTACAACATATATATAGTCTAGAATACAACACAGGTTATATATAGCATATTGTACAACATATATATAGTCTAGAATACAACACAGGTTATATATATATTGTACAACATATATATAGTCTAGAATACAACACAGGTTATATATAGAATATTGTACAACATATATATAGTCTAGAATACAACACAGGTTATATATATATTGTACAACATATATATAGTCTAGAATACAACACAGGTACAATATATATATATAGTACAACACAGGTTATATATTGCCTATTGGTCAACATATATATAGTCTAAATACAACACAGGTTATATATATTGTACAACATATATATAGTCTAGAATACAACACAGGTTATATATATACAACATATATATAGTCTAGAATACAACACAGGTTATATATATTGTACAACATATATATGTCTACAATACAACACAGGTTATATACTATTGTACAACATATATATAGTCTAGAATACAACACAGGTTATATATATATTGTCTAGAATACAACACATATATATAGTCTAGAATACAACACAGGTTATATATATACAACATATATATAGTCTAGAATACAACACAGGTTATATATTGCCTATTGTACAACATATATATAGTCTAGAATACAACACAGGTTATATATAGAATATTGTACAACATATATATAGTCTAGAATACAACACAGGTTATATATTGCCTATTGTACCACATATATATAGTCTAGAATACAACACAGGTTATATATTGCTATTGTACAACATATATATAGTCTAAATACAACACAGGTTATATATAGCATATTGTACAACATATATATAGTCTAGAATACAACACAGGTTATATATTGCCATATATTGTACAACATATATATAGTCTAGAATACAACACAGGTTATATATTGCCTATTGTACAACATATATATATAGTCTAGAATACAACACAGGTTATATATTGCCTATTGTACAACATATATATAGTCTAGACTACAACACAGGTTATATATAGAATATTGTACAACATATATATAGTCTAGAATACAACACAGGTTATATATAGAATATTGTACAACATATATATAGTCTAGAATACAACACAGGTTATATATTGCCTATTGTACAACATATATATATAGTCTAGAATACAACACAGGTTATATAGTGCCTATTGTACAACATATATATAGTCTGGAATACAACACAGGTTATATATAGAATATTGTACAAAATATATATAGTCTAGAATACAGCACAGGTTATATATTGCCCATTGTACAACATATATATAGTCTACAATACAACACATGTTATATATAGCATATTGTACAACATATATATAGTCTACAATACAACACAGGTTATATATTGCCTATTGTACAACCTATATATAGTCTACAATACAACACAGGTTATATATTGCCTATTGTACAACATATATATAGTCTAGAATACAACACAGGTATATATATAGCACAGGTTATATATAGAATATTGTACAACATATATATAGTCTAGAATACAACACAGGTTATATATTGCCTATTGTACAACATATATATAGTCTAGAATACAACACAGGTTATATATAGAATATTGTACAACATATATATAGTCTAGAATACAACACAGGTTATATAATATTGTACAACATATATATAGTCTAGAATACAACACAGGTTATATATTGCCTATTGTACAACATATATATAGTCTAGAATACAACACAGGTTATATATTGCCTATTGTACAACATATATAGTGTAGAATACAACACAGGTTATATATATATATTGTATAACATATATATATAGTCTAGAATACAACAAAGGTTATATATAGAATATTGTACAATATATATAGTCTAGAATACAACACAGGTTATATATAGAATATTGTACAACATATATATAGTCTAGAATACAACACAGGTTATATATTGCCTATTGTACAACATATATATAGTCTAAATACAACACAGGTTATATATTGCCTATTGTACAACATATATATAGTCTAGAATACAACACAGGTTATATATAGAATATTGTACAACATATACATAGTCTAGAATACAACACAGGTTATATATAGAAAAATTGGACAACATATATATAGTCTAGAATACAACACAGGTTATATATTGCCTATTGTACAACATATATATAGTCTAGAATACAACACAGGTTATATATTGCCTATTGTACAACATATATAGTCTAGAATACAACACAGGTTATATATAGAATATTGTACAACATATATATAGTCTAGAATACAACAAAGGTTATATATAGAATATTGTACAACATATATATAGTCTAGAATACAACACAGGTTATATATATATTGTACAACATATATATAGTCTAGAATACAACACAGGTTATATATAGAATGTTGTACAACATATATATAGTCTAGAATACAACACAGGTTATATATTGCCTATTGTACAACATATATATAGTCTAGAATACAGCACAGGTTATATATTGCCTATTGTGCAACATATATATAGTCTAGAATACAACACATGTTATATATTGCCTATTGTACAACACATATATATAGTCTAGAATACAACACAGGTTATATATAGAAAAATTGGACAACATATATATAGTCTAAATACAACACAGGTTATATATAGTTTACAATACAAAATAAATGTCTTGCAAATGATACATTATAGTTTACAGCACAGTTATCGTGTATATAGTTTACAGAAAAACTAAATCATTATACTTTATTTGATTCAGAGTTGTCATTATATGGCTTTGATAAGATATAATCAACTCATGAATTGCAAATGTCGTAGGATCTTTTTTAAGTAACTGAAACTGTCATAAAAAATGATGACTGTACGCATTAAATTGTCCTCATTTGACAGTAATGGGCAGCTGAGTACCAACTATATAACAGAATATACCACGCTTCATAAGTTTCCCTCTACTAATTGGCGATAAGGTCACCAATAGATGCAAACGGAAAGACAATCAATCCTTTAGTTTGACATGTAACATACAAAATCATACATTGAACTTCGTTACTGTATTTTTTAAATCACTGAATCTTTATTTTTCACTATGCATTAATAATGAAAAAAATGTATGTAGGTAAACTCTAATTCTTATATCTCACGTCATCAAATATGACTATTTTATGACGTTTTATACTGGTAGAATATGATGACTTATTTGATTAAATCTGCTTTCTTGCTTTTAATCCTTGGTTGTTTTTTTATACTTGTGATAAAAGGTGCCCTACAAGGACTGGGAATAAAATATGCATAGACAATTAAATTAAACACCCTCTTACGTGATGTGGTAGAGATAAACAATCTTGTTGCATGTATGAGCCAAATAGATACTAACCTTACGTCTTGTCGATGTTGAATTCCCTGTTGATCAGTAGCACCTACGTTAATCTTCTAGCCAGCACCACAAAATCGAAACTAAAACTATAATCAGCAAACGGAGAAAAGGAAAGAAAAACGCATTTTATGGCATTATATTGGGTTTTCCAAACAGTGCACCAAACAAATGTCGTCACTCCAGTTCAAAGTTTGCAAAAAAGTTTATTGCGGTGTGGTCCAGCGTTTTCCTATTTATAGAGTGTCCATCATGCTTATTAGTTGCCCAGATTCCAAAAACACAAACGACATAGTGACAATTTTATTGCTCCATGTCTCCTCACCACGCGCATGCCACGTGCTTCCTTAACCCGAAAGATTGATTGATATTAGATAAAACATTTGGGAATTTCAGTTTGTGAAAGTAAGAAATGAATACACTCAGTAGCACTAACGCATCTTTCTTAATTTGCAATAAAACACTTGGACGGTGTGTGTCCTCTGTAATTGGTTACATTGACTGGAGCGACCACTGTCATGTCTTCATCACTTCTCGAACTAGGCACGAGGGTGTCAGCTATCACAAGAATATCTTTGGTTGATTAAATGTCGGTCCATCTTGTATGGTCGGTTCTTACATCAGTGAGTTTGGTATATTTTATCGTCCGTCTGTTTTTATCGGCTAGCTAATTGGCCTGTGCTATCTGAATTGGTGACACCCGGGTTCAACTTGCTAATATCTTACATGTGTTTTATTGAGCATGGCCAACAATCAATACCATTAACTAATTAGGAGAGAGACACGTGTACCTATTTATAACGTTTTACACTCCCGTCATTAATCTAAATCAGCTGATAAGGTTGTTTTGATAATCTGACTTTTCTTACCCGTTTTAGATATAACAAAGTGCTATGGTGTGGCGTTGTAATGTGGAAATATGCGTATTCACCATCACAGAAGATTATACTGAAAATATAACCATATGATATTTTTGCACACGAAGTCGTATCATAATTATGGTAGATTTCATAATGAAGTACTGAATGGATAATTTTTCAATTCAGTATTGCCCATCTGAAGGAATGTTACAAATAATTAGAAATAAGAAAGCGAATCCTATACAGTTTAATGAAGGTAAACCCAGTTCTTTCGAGAAGTTGCCATACCAACCTTCCATGGTCAAAATTCAAGATGGTCGCTATCAACCACTTTCTTTTCCAAACAGTCTCAAAATTAAAGACAATGTCATAAGACTAAACAAAACCATGACCCGATGATTTGAATACGTTCAGACATTAATTGAATAAGTAGAGAACCAAGGCTAAGGACATTCTACGAAATAAGGTCAGTCTCACACAAAGCATGACTATGGCTGAAGTACCAATCTACATACAGCATGACTATGGCTGAAGTACCAATCTACATACAACATGACTATGGCTGAAGTACCATACAGCATGACTATGGCTGAAGTACCAATCTACATACAACATGACTATGGCTGAAGTACCAATCTACATACAACATGACTATGGCTGAAGTACCAATCTACATACAGCATGACTATGGCTGAAGTACCAATCTACATACAGCATGACTATGGCTGAAGTACCAATCTACATACAACATGACTATGGCTGAAGTACCAATCTACATACAACATGACTATGGCTGAAGTACCACACAGCATGACTATGGCTGAAGTACCAATCTACATACAGCATGACTATGGCTGAAGTACCAATCTACACACAGCATGACTATGGCTGAAGTACCAATCTACACACAACATGACTATGGCTGAAGTACCAATCTACACACAGCATGACTATGGCTGAAGTACCGATCTACATACAGCATGACTATGGCTGAAGTACCAATCTACACACAGCATGACTACTGAAGTACAGCATGACTATGGCTGAAGTACCAATCTACACACAGCATGACTATGGCTGAAGTACCAATCTACACACAACATGACTATGGCTGAAGTACCAATCTACACACAGCATGACTATGGCTGAAGTACCAATCTACACACAACATGACTATGGCTGAAGTACCAATCTACATACAACATGACTATGGCTGAAGTACCAATCTACATACAGCATGACTATGGCTGAAGTACCAATCTACATACAGCATGACTATGGCTGAAGTACCAATCTACATACAGCATGACTATGGCTGAAGTACCAATCTACATACAGCATGACTATGGCTGAAGTACCAATCTACATACAACATGACTATGGCTGAAGTACCAATCTACATACAGCATGACTATGGCTGAAGTACCAATCTACACACAGCATGACTATGGCTGAAGTACCAATCTACACACAGCATGACTATGGCTGAAGTACCAATCTACATACAACATGACTATGGCTGAAGTACCGATCTACATACAGCATGACTATGGCTGAAGTACCAATCTACACACAGCATGACTATGGCTGAAGTACCAATCTACATACAGCATGACTATGGCTGAAGTACCAATCTACATACAACATGACTATGGCTGAAGTACCAATCTACATACAGCATGACTATGGCTGAAGTACCAATCTACATACAACATGACTATGGCTGAAGTACCAATCTACACACAGCATGACTATGGCTGAAGTACCAATCTACACACAACATGACTATGGCTGAAGTACCAATCTACACACAGCATGACTATGGCTGAAGTACCAATCTACATACAACATGACTATGGCTGAAGTACCAATCTACACACAGCATGACTATGGCTGAAGTACCAATCTACATACAGCATGACTATGGCTGAAGTACCATGACTATGGCTGAAGTACCAATCTACACACAGCATGACTATGGCTGAAGTACCAATCTACACACAGCATGACTATGGCTGAAGTACCCATCTACACACAACATGACTATGGCTGAAGTACCAATCTACATACAACATGACTATGGCTGAAGTACCAATCTACATACAGCATGACTATGGCTGAAGTACCATACAGCATGACTATGGCTGAAGTACCAATCTTCGCGTTAGGATTTAACGTATTATGATTTAACGCGATTTTAACACATGAACGACCTACCTCACATATAGTATCTCTTAAAGAGTTTTATTTTCAGTAATTTTATGAGACGAGCAGTTCGCGAGACTCTCCGAGTAAAAATTAAAACTTTGAGACAAGATTCATACATTCTCATATGAAATAATAACAAATTGAACATACATTTTGTTCCATAAGTCGGAAAAATTTACATTTTGACAATTTTAACGCAAAAACTTTGAGGAAGGGATCAAACAGAGGCGGCCATTTTGTTGTGCCATCTTGAACTAATGACGTGACGTCATCGTCTATCACAATTGAATTCAGACTTTTGTATCCAACACAATTCATGATATATAATCACACTAGCTACTAATTTAGTTAGTTACAGGTTGATTATCTTATGAAAATATAAATGTTCATGTTTTTCATTATTGTATAACAGGATTTTATACACCATAACTCCTTCGGAGATGACCATTGAATACTATTATTTTCAAAAAGAGCTCTCCTTCGTATGCGGCGCAGCAATGACTGGTTGGACACGCAGGATGCACGGTGTGGTTAGTGTGTGAGTTGGGCTAATGTCCTGCGCATTCACTGTAACATTGGATGACTCCACATAAACGACCACCCATTTAACTCGTGTTCGCGATGGATATGGATTCTGTCGGATATCGAACTTCCGAAGTTTAAAGAATAAATCAATCAATCATACAGGTAAATCAATGCAGTAGATAACCTGTGTATTGTTGTTTTTAATTATTTTTTGATTTATTCACGGAAGCTGAAAGATAAGGTTGTATGAACGCATTGTAGATAACAGGGAGGGGGAGGGGGACATTCCGATGATTTGTGGGAAATCACATCAACACTAACTGAGTGGGTTTGGGGATAACAGCGAGAGAAACGTTAGAAGAAGATGAATCTGGTGAGAACAGGTGTATCGCAGCGACAGTAACTAGGTTAGCGAGATCAAACTAACATGTTTCCTAACAGTACCCCATCTACCAGCTGTGCCTATATAATCATAAAGATGTTGTACTCTTGTATTCAGACAGAAAATTGAAAAATAACTCGAAACTATACTGTAACTATATCAACTGATTCTACAGAGATCTTGGTGTCCATTGTTTGGTCTTCAGTTTTTCTTTAAAAATTTTATTCTGCTCCCTTCCTTTCTATTCTTTCCTCTGTTCTTGGTCTTAATTATATGAAATCTGAAAAATTCTCTTAAGAAATAGTGATAATAATCTTTGTCAATCCAAGATGGTCACCTGTCGGCCATTTTTCTTGTTATTTAAGGAGGAACATTCATATGAAATTTGAGAAATGCCTATCCAGTACTTCCCAAGAAATAGCCGTGACAACTTTTACAGACGGACGGGCGGACAACGGACATCATACTGTGGGCTAAAAAGTAATTTTGATCCGAAACCCTTTGCTATAAAACCACACATATAAGTATGACAATACACTAACAAAAACAATACCGCTACAGAAAATAATGAAATGAAACTACATTTGTAACCTGTTTTTATAAAGTCAGATAGTATGAAAGTGTGAAAAAGGAAATGTGAAATCTTCAAAGGGACAAAACTCTGTAAACTAGAAAATATCTGTAGCATTTGAATGTCCTGATACCAATGCATAAGAGTTAACTTTGTGTAAAGTTTGATCAGAGTTCTTTACAAATTGGTTCATGATTTTTCTTTTAAATGCGTATATTTATGATGGTCTTGGAGCCTTAAAACACAACCACATCCGATACAGGGATGGTGGTGTGGGGGTGGGGGTTAGTGGTGGTGGTGGTGGTAGTGGTAATGGTGGTCACCAATAGGGGGTTAATTGATGAGGTTTACAGATGGGTATTAGTAACGGAGTGATAAGAAGCAGGGTTGTGGTGTTGATATTTTTGTAATTAGATTTCCAGTGACTGTTGACGTAAAATTAACATCTGATATTGATGGAAGCATAAAGAGAGGAAGTATTTCCATGGCTCGGTGGTCCTATTTGATTTATATTGCACAGCAGGTTGTCGTGGTGTACACCACTATCAGTCAGTCTAACCTGTTCAGTAATTTAATTATCGGGGACAGGAGATATCAAACCAACTCTATCACTAGTATATTACGAGCTCTTCTACTTCGACGTACAATATGTATAACAGTATTTGTTCAGGGCGTACTAATGCTGCGTTTCATCTACCCAAAATCTGACGCCGAGAACGTCTAGGGATTTTAAAAGGAACCTCAAAATCTGTATTTACAAACATATATTAACTTTTCCTTATCTGAATACAGTCCAATCAAATACAATACAATACAATACAACGCAATACAATACAATACAATACAATACAATACAATACAATACAACACAATACAACACAACACAACACAACACAATACAATACGATACAACACAACACAATTCAACACAACACAACACAATACAATACAACACAATACAATACAACACAATACAACACAACACAACACAACACAATACAATACGATACAACACAACACAATTCAACACAACACAACACAATACAATACAACACAATACAATACAACACAATACAACACAATACAATACAACACAATACAACACAATACAATACAACACAACACAGTACAATACAACGCAATGCAATACAATACAACACAATACAATACAAAACAACACAATACAACACAACACAATACAACACAACACAACACAATACAATACAACACAATACAATACAACACAATACAACACAACACAATACAACACAACACAACACAATACAATACAACACAACACAATACAACACAATACAACACAACACAATACAACACAACAGAATACAATACAACACAATACAATACAACACAACACAATGCAACACAACACAACACAGTACAATACAACGCAATGTAATACAATACAACACAACACAATACAACACAATACAATACAACACAATAAAAACAACACAACACAATACAACACAACGCAATACAATACAACACAACACAATACAATACAACACAACACAACACAATACAACACAACACAATACAATGCAACACAATACAACACAACACAATATATACATATCTCATACATTGTAATGATTATCATTAACTCTGAAATAGGGTAACCACAACAAGTTAACTTAGTTAAACCCTGGTATATACAACAGTGATGGATTAAAAGCTTACACAAAATCAAATACCGGTTTCTATATTTATGTTTAAAGCATTTTATATCAAGTATCATTTACATATACCCTTATATAGTAAATTGTAAAATATGAAATTTGACAGGACATTCTTTTATACAATATGTAGATTCAACGGACTGAGAAATAGCTATGCGGAATGGATGTCATTGTGAAGCTAGAGCGAGTGGGGGTGCGGAGTAAGCAATGCAATGCACGTGTAACATCGTTGTATATAGAGACACACAGGTAATCATGCACGAATCACGGAACATCGGACTGGCCAGCGGAGTTTGTAAACTACAAGACAGCAAAGGTGAAAGGTAAGATGTATACTACCAAGTACTAAGTACAATGTCAACCAGTCAAAACAAAAAGGTTGTTACCATCCTAGATTTTGGAAGATAAACTATGTGAACTCTTTCAAGCATTGGGATATTTGAAATTATGATGACAAGCATGTAACAATTTTTAACTTGAACAGGAAAAACCGAAAGTAGAACAAAATCGTTACGTCACGAAATAAACTGATCCCAGTATATTTGTATTCATCAATATTCATCTGTTTGTTTTCTGATGGTTTAGTTTTTTTGGCCGAATCTTTTTGGTTGCATGTATGTGAGTTTCATGGTGCTCCTCGATCTCGGAAAATTATCTAATTCCTCCTGCAGTTTGCTCTGCCTTCTTTTTCGTTTTGCATCCCGAACAGAACACATTTGTAAATGAACAACGAAAAGTATTTATCTTTGGTTGTCTTTGGCTTCTTCGCGTTTTTATTGATATTTCACACGAACGTACATCGTATACATTACGGAGAACAAAATTTCCCGCCATTATACATCAGCCGCGAACTCTTTATTAAGTCACATGATAATGCATGTGATCATTCAAAATGGCGGCGTTGTGACTGCCGGAAGAAATCCTGGCGATAATGTTGTATGCGAATAGTTTTTATTGACCAAAATGTAAAATGAGTGTCTTTCAAAGCATCAAGGGGACATTTGCAGCAGGGTAAGGAAAAGCCGATGTTTAATATAGTTTGTTTATGCTGAAATCACGTGGAAACTTCGGGAATTCTTAAGTCCGGCGGTGTTGTCGGATCATAGCCTACAGGAAGTATTGTGATGTAACACGATTTAGGATATTGTTGGAATGCCTTCTGAACTTTATCTTACTATATTTAGATAAATTACGAGCATTCACACCCAGACCAGTTGTTAATAAACACCTTCCAACTATTAAATGCAATAACATCCCAATAGACTGCATGGATCACCGTCATGACGGTTTAGTAATGTGAACAGAACACTAAGCTAATTTAAGCTTGATACAAGTGTATGCACAGGTGCTGTAAGACAGTAGGCGTAAACACACATACTTGTTTGTAATAGCCATGTTTATTACATGTTGAATAATAATAATGTTACATGTACAAAAGCAACATCTTATCAACATACAGAGTTCATATACTAGTACTTCACATTGTGTCTCGTATCAGAACTGTCCACCTGGTGGGCTTCCCCAAGGCTGTCTCTGACCGTGCAGTCGGGTGTCCAAACCCCTTCTCCCTTATCCCCAGAATCTAGTATCTATTTATCTCATCTTGACCGATTCTGTCCCGCTATCCCCTTATATGGACTTCACTTGTTGCGAGATGATACAATTGTTGAAGTATAACCCTGTACTCGAGGTGTAAGGTTGAGATTCCTCCTGCTAATTTGTTACTTTAAATAGACCCTAATAATTACTCCACCACTAGGTGGCCACTGTCCAAACGGTAAATTACATAAGTTTAATTATCAAGGAAGTGGGGATAGTCTCTAATTAGTTAAATGGCCAAGGCTGTACACCCACTGATAAGATTCTCGGGGCCCAGACTACACCAATCTAAGTGTATATATGCAAGTAATTATCCACACCCCTATGACCCACCTATATGTGTTTTATTGATATACTATTGAACATTAAACGAACTATTGTTTAAGCTAACTTATTTCAACCAATCCCATATGAAAATCCAGATGTGTTACGCTAAACCCTATTTTGTTACAGTGCATTGAATGTGTTAAAGCGTGTAAAATGGTGGCCGTATCTATTAATGTATTGAAATCATAGGATAGTTGTTATGTTTGGTCAAAAGTCATTTTAGATTTATACTTTTAGATTGAAGTCGATAACCTCTCGTGATGTTAAGGAGGAGAAACTTCAACATGTGAAAGCGGGAGTGTGTTTGGATGCTGGGGCTGATCTGTTAGACAGGTAAACAATAGTATTCAGTTTATTTATGTAAACACCTTCAAATGGCTGAGGCATCTGTTTTAGCAAGGATCTGTAGAAGACCTAATGGAACTCCAAACAAATATTCAATCACATTTTATTGTGTAAAATTATGATTTTTTGTGAATATGTACATCTTTCTTCAGACAGCCGGTCCATCTAATGTTGGTTACAGTTGATGTTTTGACTCCTCTTTAAGTCTTAACAACTGTTAGTGAGCGATGAATTGTTAGCATGATGATTTTTAAGCATTTAGCATTTATGTAAATTGTGAAAAAATCCAATTCTGTCATATTTTGAGCTCAGATTTTTGTTCAGAATTTTTGAAGGGAGAATGGGTCTGTGAGACATATGAGGTACATGTAGATTTGTTGACAGTACCAGGAGAGTTATGACCCTTAATTATCTTAAAAGAATACCTCACGGGTAATCAGTATGCTATGGATGCTTCATGGGACACTTTAATTTCATTGTGCAGGTACCAGAACATTTGGAAGGAACTCCATCAGGATGCAGAGGAGAATGCTAAATTGGCTGAGGTAAATACATTCAAACTGAAAGTAAACTCATGTCATAGCTGTATGGTTTTTATGTTTTGACAAATGAGAATGTTTATAAGGTCATTTTTTACCTCTTCTGTTGACTAAAGGTTGTGGTAGGTTTATACTACCTGGAAGAGGTGTTCTTTCTTATGCTTAGTTTGTATATAAATGTTTGATAAAGAGGTCAATGAAATGAATTAACATATTATCTGATACTTGGCTTTCTGTGGTATTATCTGATATTTGGCTGTCTGTGGTATCATCTGATACTTGGCTTTCTGTGGTATCATCTGATACTTGGCTGTCTGTGGTATTACGTGATACTTGGCTGTCTGTGGTATTATCTGATACTTGTCTGTCTGTGGTATTATATGATACTTGGCTGTCTGTGGTATTATCTGATACTTGGCTGTCTGTGGTATCATCTGATACTTGTCTGTCTGTGGTATTATGTGATACTTGGCTGTCTGTGGTATTATCCGATACTTGGCTGTCTGTGGTATCATCTGATACTAGGCTGTCTGTGGTATTATCTGATATTTGGCTGTCTGTGGTATCATCTGATACTTGGCTGTCTGTGGTATCATCTGATACTTGTCTGTCTGTGGTATTATGTGATACTTGCCTGTCTGTGGTATTATCCGATACTTGGCTGTCTGTGGTATCATCTGATACTTGGCTGTCTGTGGTATCATCTGATACTTGGCTGTCTGGTATTATCCAATACTTGGCTGTCTGTGGTATCATCTGATACTTGCCTGTCTGTGGTATTATCCGATACTTGGCTGTCTGTGGTATCATCTGATACTTGTCTGTCTGTGGTATTATATGATACTTGGCTGTCTGTGGTATTATCTGATATTTGGCTGTCTGTGGTATCAGCTGATACTTGCCTGTCTGTGGTATTATCCGATACTTGGCTGTCTGTGGTATCATCTGATACTTGGCTGTCTGTGGTATCATCTGATACTTGTCTGTCTGTGGTATTATGTGATACTTGCCTGTCTGTGGTATTATCCGATACTTGGCTGTCTGTGGTATCATCTGATACTTGGCTGTCTGTGGTATCATCTGATACTTGTCTGTCTGTGGTATTATGTGATACTTGCCTGTCTGTGGTATTATCCGATACTTGGCTGTCTGTGGTATCATCTGATACTTGGCTGTCTGTGGTATCATCTGATACTTGGCTGTCTGGTATTATCCAATATTTGGCTGTCTGTGGTATCATCTGATACTTGGCTGTCTGTGGTATCATCTGATACTTGGCTGTCTGTGGTATTATCCGATACTTGGCTGTCTGTGGTATCATCTGATACTTGTCTGTCTGTGGTATCATCTGATACTTGGCTGTCTGGTATTATCCAATACTTGGCTGTCTGTGGTATTATCTGATACTTGTCTGTCTGTGGTATTATGTGATATTTGCCTGTCTGTGGTATTATGTGATACTTGCCTGTCTGTGGTATTATCCGATACTTGGCTGTCTGTGGTATCATCTGATACTAGGCTGTCTGTGGTATTATCCGATACTTGGCTGTCTGTGGTATCATCTGATACTTGGCTGTCTGTGGTATCATCTGATACTTGGCTGTCTGTGGTATCATCTGATACTTGGCTGTCTGGTATTATCCAATACTTGGCTGTCTGTGGTATCATCTGATACTTGCCTGTCTGTGGTATCATCTGATACTTGGCTGTCTGGTATTATCCGATACTTGGCTGTCTGTGGTATCATCTGATACTTGGCTGTCTGTGGTATTATCCGATACTTGGCTGTCTGTGGTATCATCTGATACTTGGCTGTCTGTGGTATTATCCAATACTTGGCTGTCTGTGGTATCATCTGATACTTGGCTGTCTGTGGTATCATCTGATACTTGGCTGTCTGTGGTATCATCTGATACTTGTCTGTCTGTGGTATTATGTGATATTTGGCTGTCTGTGGTATTATGTGATACTTGTCTGTCTGTGGTATCATGTGATACTTGGCTGTCTGTGGTATTATCTGATACTTGGCTGTCTGTGGTATTATGTGATATTTGGCTGTCTGTGGTATTATCTGATACTTGGCTGTTTGTGGTATTATGTGATACTTCGCTGTCTTTGATATTACGATATTTGCCCATCACTCTCAGTAAATAATCAGGGATGTTTCTTCACTTTTTACAAATGAAAGCTTCATTGTATTTACATGATGTCTGTCACAGCCATAATTTTAGATTTGTTGGTATGAATGACCTTAATATGTCTCCTTCTCTACAGAATGTAGATAGCCAGATTACGCAGCTGTTTGTGACCTATGACAGACAGGCAGAAGTGTTGAGTCAGTTACACTCCACTGTGGCTGATCTCCCAGTCATACTAAACAAACTTCAGGAGTTGACAGATGTACTTGGTAAGTCATTTACAGATTTTTAAATTTTATGAAAGTCATAGAATATTTTTATCCCATTGCCATGTTACGGAGTTGCAAATTGTGTTAACTATGTCCATCCATACCATCCTGCCTTGCTTTGTTGTGTTATGTCACATCAAATTCTAAGTCAGTTAAATTCTAGGGGTGGTAAACAAAACCTGGAGTTCTGAGATGTTTTACTGGAATAGCCTGGAGTGATTTCTGAGAAAGATGTTTTAGTGGAATAGCCTAGAGTGATTGCTGAGATAGATGTTTTACTGGAATAGCCTAGAGTGATTGCTGAGATAGATGTTTTACTGGAATAGCCTAGCGTGATTCCTGTATCTAAGGTTTGCATTTACAGCATCTTTGGATGAGGAATATGAGAATGTGGAGGTGGCTTTGATACGTCTGGAGGACACTTGTGAAGAACAGGAACTTACACAGGCAAAGGAGTATGATGCTCAAAAACTGGCCACCTACACCCACAGGAAGAGTGAAGAACTCCAAAAAATTAAAGGTTTATTGATCTGATCTTACTTAAAGAAATTAAAAAATGCATTTTTCATTCAAATTTGTTAAAATATATACATGATTATATATTATGTCTTTTCAATGGTACTATTTATAATTTCTATTAAGAAATAACAAAGTATTTTGTTACTGGTCTAACAGATGTGTTATGAATAGATTACATTGATGTCTGTGTAGACTGGGTTTCTGTTAGAATTTAACAAACATTTTTTTTCAGTGGAATTTGCCAAAGATCATGCCAAAAAAATGGAAGGTTACGAGAAACATCGCCAGACAAAATTGAAGGAACGACAGGAAGTGTTTGAACAGCAATTTAATAACGATCTTGACTACTTCAAGTCCCACGGCCGTCTAGAAAGTGAGTAGTCATAATTATGTATAGTATTTCAGAGGTCTCTAGTGTTTAAATTTCACTCAACATATGGCCTTTATTGGGACGTGAAATGTTTCTGAGGAACTTTGTGTTTTGAGCTTCTTGTGTGTAATAGCTGATCAATTTAACTCTTACTTTTCATTATAGCCATAAGTGCCTATGATAACAACTTGATATTTAGCTATGTCCCTGCTCTGTACTGTTTTTGATTGTTGAAAAAGGATCAGTCTGGCTTTTGTATAAGTTTGAATAACCTAAGAAAATAATTTTACCAATCTGGAATGTTTGCCTCGCAGGACTATCCACTAGCAGTAATGATAGCAGTAAGAAAACTGACCTGGCAGACATCAGCTGGGAGATGGAGAACACAGACTTAGATGAATTCCTGGAGACAGACACAGCAATATCAGGAGACAGTCAGCTGCCACATGGTGTGTGTTTATCCTGTGGGGAGAGAGGGTGTGTCAACTGAGGCTATTGGATGAGAGGGGAGTAGGGGCAGGCCAACTGAAGATTTATCAAGATGGCAGAAAGTAAAGATAGGTCAATTGAGGATTGAGAGGAGCTTTTGAGGAGATTAAGGGTGGGTCAATTGAGGATCGAGAGGAGCTTTTGAGGAAATTAAGGGTGGGTCAATTGAGGATTGAGAGGAGTTTTTGAGGAGATTAAGGGTGGGTCAATTGTGGATTGACAAAGCGTGGGAGAAAGGTAAAGAATAAAACTGGATTAACATGGATGGAAAGCGAATAAGGATCAATTGAGTATTAATAGGGGTGGCAGGAGAATTAGGATTAATTGAGGATTAATAGGGGTGGCAGGAGAATTAGGATCAATTGAGGATTAATAGGGGTGGCAGGAGAATTAGGATCAATTGAGGATTAATAGGGGTGGCAGGAGAATTAGGATCAATTGAGGATTAATAGGTTTTTTTTTGAGATTATTTCCTGTTTTCTGAATTAAAACAAGTTACTGCCTAATACATATTTTGAATTATTTTGAAACTACTGCTTTCAGATAATTTTAATGCTGAATTTGAAGATGAAGTGGAACAGTTTTCTGAAGAAGAGGTGGAGGAAGAAGAGAGCGAGGAAGAGGAAAGGGTAGATGTGACATTGCCTCTCAAGGACCAGTGTGATTCTATAACAGGAGGGGAGACAACTCCGTCTGAGGATAATGAAGAGGCTGCTATTAGTAATGAGAATGTTGATGTCTCCGACAACACCCACTCAGCTGGTGAAGCCAACACAGATGATACAAATGGGGTCTAGTATAGAAAGAATTCATAAACATTCCAGGTTTGACAAGGAAGTATGTAGACAATATGAAATTTAAATGTTTTTGGTGCTGGTAGTGGGGAGCAGGCCCTAACGATGGATAAATACATCATATATTCTAAGTTAATAAGGCTGATAGTTGTCACACTTGTATGGGGCAGGCCCCTACTATGGATAAATACTTGATACTATCTAACTTAATAAGGCTGACAGATGTCTCATTGATAGCAAGCAGGCCCTAAGTGTGGATAAATACATAGTATAATCGGACTTGATAAGGAAGGTGATTGTCTTACTGGTATGAAGCAGTTAGACCACGACTCTGGATAAGTACATTTCTATAGTTTATAAGTCTGAGGATTGCTTGTTACCACGCTATTTCTTTCATGATTTCCTTACGAAAGGAGTTAACGTGAAATCAGACTCACCGTTTCATCACTTGATGCCTCCATATAGCGTGCATTTGTTTACAAGCAGTCTTCTCCCCGCCAGAGGGTGCAGCATTTTGCAGTATATTTGAATTATTGCTTTTTTTGGCGTGGGCTTCCCCAGATTTTAAACTGACCACACTGGACATTGGCTAAGTAGGAGAAAACTATTATGTACAGATTTATTTGTCTGGACACATATATTTTCTTTCCAGCTGAATAGAAAAAAACATTGCTTGACTGAATAGCCCCTTTAAGTCCAATTCATGCCTTTATAAAGAGATTTTTTGCCTAAGATTACAAATTAATAAAATCACAGTTCTAATCCACCTAATCCATCTAATCCATTGATTCCATATAAACATAACAGTTTACTCTTTTCAACCAGGAATATGTCATAATGTTTATAATTTTAAAGATAAGGTGATATAGTGTTGATAATCTCCATTTTATATGATATATTTGTGTAATGGGTTAGGATGTTGTTTTAAAGTGGATTTTTTTCAGTTGGGAATTTAAGGAATGGAATTCAAATAAACTGTGAAAGAACAAGGAAAATACACATTCCTATCCAGTGCACTGATCAGAAATGGAACAAGGGTCTCTGGCGTGATAATTGAATGGTGCTTCTAGCTGAGCCAAAGAAGCATGCTCCGTCAGCTGAGTGATAGACAATAGATAACACTATGTACAAGCCACACCAACCTGCTCCTTTTATAGTACTTTCTACATCAAGGGATTGGATTTTAAACACTTCCATGGGACCAGGACTGGGATTTAGTCACCCATATTGGACCAGGGCAGAGATTTAGTTACGCTCATTGGACCAGGGCTGGGATATAGCTACACTCCTCAACCGGGGCTGGGATTTGGTTGTGGTCATCAGACAGGGCTTGAATAAATTACACTTGTCTGACCAGGGCTTGGATTGAGTTATGCTCATTGGACCAGGGCAGAGATTTAGTTACTCTCATTGGACCAGGTTTTGGATTGAGTTATGCTTATTAGACCAGGGCTTGGATTGAGTTATGCTCATTGGACCAGGGCTTGGATTGAGTTATGCTCATTGGACCAGGTTTTGGATTGAGTTATGCTTATTAGACCAGGGCTTGGATTGAGTTATGCTCATTGGACCAGTGCCTGCATTAAATTACGCTTAAATAGACCAGTGCTTTGATTTATTAATGCTCAATGAACTAGGGCTTGTATTAAGTTATGCTTGTAGGAAAAGGGCTGAGATTTAGTTATACTTGTGAGATGAGGAGTGGAATTTAGATATTGGATCAAGTCAATTTAATTCCTTGCCATATAGTTAGCAGATATATGTATGTAACTTATATTGAGTTCAATAATTAAATAGCTGGAGGTGGATATCACTGGTATCTCAGTATTAATTTACTCACACATAACAATGGTATTTGTGTTGTTTGTAATGAACAAAGTTTTATAATGATATTGTATGTTGTATTTCTGTCCATCCAGAAGAATACCATACTCACCACATAAGCACTGTAAAATGATAAGAGTTTATTGTTAGGGTCCTGCCACTTATTATGTATATCTGTTGTTATAAATTGATGTAATGACATGTTGGAGTTACAGTACATATTTTATCAATAAATGATGTGTAAACGTTCTGGCGTTACATTTGTGCAAACGTTCTGGCGTTACATTTGTACCTAATTACCAGCTTACATTCAACAGCCTAAGTATACGATCACTTGTACAAGTATCGTACTGCAGATTGTTTTTTGAATGATTCACAAAACCTTGGTCATTTAAGGATTGATTTGTCTTTGAAAATTTCTATATGGGTATTTAAATTACCAGGTACTTTAAATAGGATCTGAACAAAAATAAATATTTCAGAAAGTTCTATCGAAAGATAACACTGTGAAGGGAGATAACTCCTCTGAATAAACAGGAGTATTCACAATTTCTCTTCACAATCTCATCAATATAAATCTCTACATTTTCATGTTTTGTAATCAAATTTGCTTTTTTTTTGGTTTAGATTTTTTTAGGTAAAGTGAAGTTGGGGGTGTCTGAAGTAGCCACTCTAAAGTTTCAAGGATGACCTGTAATTGTTAACATACACTTGACTATATCATCCACTCCAACTGAAGGAAACAAGTTGCCTAACATGTATAACTGCTATTGAACATGATACCCTGGATATTCAACTGACACCTTTGAATTAGGGAATATTATGTTTTTTTTCTGCACCTTTTGGAGATTAAATGATGATTTTTGGCAAACAAGAGGAAAACTCTAGCACTAATGTATGTAGTGAACAATATGGTTAGGAATTTACCAACTTTTTCGACTGCAATAATGCTATGTACACTGAATATGGCGGGTAAACAAGAGGTACACACCATTTGATTGAAATTTGATAAACTTTTGATGGAGATGTTTCATGGAATCATATTTGCATGACCTTTGGTTTTTTTTTATAGTGACAACAAACATTAATTTTTACAAATACAAATTTAATATCACATCAGTTTATTGGCATTTTGACACTCAAATTCCTTGAATCAAAATCATTGTATGTTTACACACATTTACTTCACCTGTACATATATTTTCAAATCCTTGTATTTGTACGCACATATCCACAAGTAAACAACAAACATCCTCACCTGTACACAAATAAGAAACATGATATAAACAAACACACATTGTTAAACATGAAGAATTATTAACCTTATATATAAGTTTTCTTTTCACTGATGACACAAACACCCGTATTACTTGTAGTCAGAAGTCGCCTGATACTGTCATGTTATATTATATTCACAAAGTACCTGGTTATTAAACACCTGTATTAAGAAGGAGTTGTCTTTCTTGGGACCAACTTTCCGATCTATGCCAGCTGTTATTAGATTTTTGGTACAATGTCAATAGAGAGGAAAAATAATAAGCAGTAATGTATATAGACAAGATATACTCATAATGTATGTGTAAACATTTCAACCTTTCTTATTTCGTTAAAACATTTAATTAAACCTTTCAGAAAATGTTTACAAGATGTCAAAGGACCTTAAAGGTTGTCTGACTATAAAGACATCTGATATAGGGCTCAATGGGCTGGAACTGCTCACCTATACAACAGAAGACTTTGTCAGTTCATAAAGTCATATCTGTAAACTTGAAATCATATTTCTCAAACATGCTTCTACACAAAGTTCTCAACACATTTGAATCCAGTGAGCTTGAAAGTGGGTCAAGGTCAATCATTTTGATAAATTTTGTAACATTCATCAAATAATGTTAGAGAACCAATATCAGTAATCTGAATTTTTTGGTTATTAAACAAGAACTATTTGAAAATTTTAACATATTAGACCCTTGTGACCTTGAAAACAGGGCAAACTTGATAGTCTTTCATCCCAGCATACTACAAGACCAATATAAGCACTCTCGGCCGTTTTTTTCTTGAGAAGAAAGTGTTTGAAGATTTTAAAACATTTGACCCCTGTGATTGTGAAAGTGGGTCAAGGTAATTATTTTAAACAAACTTGATAGCTCTACATCGAAGAATCCTACAGGCCCTGGGCCTCTTGGTCGTTGAGAAGAAATTGTTTTGAATTTAAATTTTATACATGGCAGACAATGCATAGTGCATGATTTCCGATGAAACACAGTTGCTGTAGGTCATCCTTATCCCTCAGGGCAGATGACCTAAAAATTCATCTTTAATCTCGATCAAATAGAATACAATCTTACATTAACACCGAAGTCTACTGAAAACTAGAAAATGGGAAATGTCATGCTAGTAGATGACACCCTACTTGTCAGATCCTGACACTGCTTGCTAGCTAGTCATTTACTCCTTAGTCTGTTTAAGGATTGACATGCAGAAAGCTATAGAATTAAATAATTTTGAAATATTACTCTCTGGATTTGAAGCCACAATATTACAGCTAAATAACGAAACTAAATTACACATTCCAAAACAATTCTTACTCTCTCTTAGTTGTAACTAAATATCAAGCAAATACATGTAGACATCTCTCTCATTTTAGGATTTTATCATACAGTGATGTGCCAAATTTGGTCACAATGCCAAACTGTTTACATTTTCTGTATGGGATAAAAGGGCTTTTGTTATCTGCATCACTGATAACAACATTCACTATTTCATGATATGACATATTGTCGTTATCTACTTCCGGGTTTTCCCCCAAAAGAATTATGAATACAGGATGGAACAAAAATTCTGGAAATTCAAACGGAGGTGAAAAATATGGTTATAGGGCTTTAGAGCAGATATACCTACTGAAGTATATGTGTGATGCTAAAATTATCTAAATCTACAATTATTGATATCAGATGAAAGTTTTCAAGTTTGGAATCAGTAGAAAACAAGGCAGGTCACATTTGGTGAGCAATCGTGAGTAGTGAAAGTTAGAATGAAACATAATGATTTTTATACAAACATGTACACAATAAATGTGGTTCCAAGAAAAAACTTAACATGAGAAAAGTGAATTGGGCTAAGAAACTTGCATGGTTCTGAGAAAAGAGGAAATTTTCCTTTACACAAATGGGAATAGGTCATACTCTTCGACAAAGGCAAAATAGTAATTGGTCAAGACCACTGTATTTATGTCTGAAGAAAATAAGATGAGGAATAGACGTGATCTCGTCCAAACATGCGTGATCTCGTCCAACCATGCTTGGCACAAAACAAATACAAGTGATGTTTTGGGGCTTCATTTGTTGGGATGATGTGGGGACACGGATGTGTATCGATGAGAACATTAAGACGAAGAACATATTTGACCTGTAAGACATTGTTCTGTTGGTGGTTATTTTTTCCAAGATGATAACCTCATACATGGTGCAAAATCCAGTGAGGGATATTGGTGCCCATCTTGGAATCAACTGCTTAAGTTGGCTTGCACAGTTGCCAGAATTGAAAATGTTTTGTGGTATGTCAAAGGAAAACTGTTATTCTACATAGCATTTATGAAATCAACATTCAAAGAATTTGGAATTGGAGCTCTCACCTGCCTACATCCTGTGCTTGTATAAATCTATTCTTTGGTGGATTTGAAACGTGATCAGATTAAAAGGACACTTCAGAAGTTCTTAAGGTAGGTGTGTAAATATTTTGTTGTGATTAACATAACTCTATTGTTCTTTGTTCTACATGAGATCCTCCTAGCATGATAAAATTTGTTTAGTAGTGAAGTCAGTGATCATTTCACCTTGAGACATGTTCGAATTTGAAATGTGACTGCTATGAAACTTTAAACAGGTGTCTTGTTATGGTTAACAACAGAAAACTGATGTGGATACAAAGGAGTATGCTGGCTATGCCACCAGACAAATTAATACATGATTGTATAGACATACCTAAGCCATTAGCAACAGAAAAATTCATGTTGTATTAAGTAACTAGCCCCTTGCACCTATTATGACAATTTTTAGTTTCAACGATTAGCTCACTGAAACAATAATTTGACATGACTACCAGGGTATCACACCCCTCCCTGGCAAGCAAATGTATTCTGAGATTTAAACTGATGTTTGAATACCTTCGGAGAATAAAGAACTGACTTTTACACAATAAAGAACTGACTTTTACACAATAAAGAGCTGACTTTTACACAATAAAGAGTTGTCCATTATTTGGGCAGTGATCTCTTACAGTAATATGGTGACCTGATTCTCAAACTTTCACCTGGTACTGATATATTCTGTTGATTCTATGTACAAAAATTATGAAAGTAGAGGACGGGATTTCCAGTGACCACACAACGTCACCTGTGGACATGTGTTTACTGTGGTCACCTCATACTGATGAGTTCTTTAGTTGCTGTCCTCACCACCAAATTGAAGTCAATGTTCATATAGGCTCGCCAGTAGCGTCTGTTCCGTCCCCAAACATTGGCAGGAAAGCAGGGACTACCAATACCATGGAACACACGGGCAACAGCTCGACCATTCAGCTTGTGATCTGTACCGTAAACATTCACAAATTGGCGAATGTCTGACACTAATTGTCTGAGCTCATGTTGTGGAGTCTGTTAAAGAAAAGGGAGATAACCTTCATTAGAATTTGTTACCATTACAATTTTATACCTATATATATATATGTATGTATAGTCGCATGAATGGAGACCTAATATATGTATAGATGTATATAAAGCAGGTTAATATCAGTTCAACCTCGATAGATGTTGAATGTAAACTTTATTTATTTTACAACAATTAGGAAACAAGCTATCAGTTTATATTAATCACTCTTGTTGTTCCGAATGGAAGCGTGGCAGGAAGTCTTAATGTTGAAGGAAACAGGAGTACCAGTGGAAAACCCACAAAGTTGGGCAGTTAACCCAAAACTTTTTCATGTTCGTTCCGGAAATTGAATCCTGGAGGGCTAGGTGAAAATTGAGTGCATTACCACTGCGCCACCTGACCACAGATAGATATTAGGCAAGCTGTGGTAAACATTAGGCTAATCAATGTACCAGGTACATAATAAATTCTAAACCTACCCAAGTCAAAAACCCTAGTAAACTCAGGTAAACATGTATCAACCCTGGCAAATATCAGACCAACTCAGGTAAACAGGTGTCAACCTTGGCACTCAGGTAAAACATGTATCTACCCTAGTAAATGCCACACCAATTCAGGTAAACATGTATCAACCCTTGTAAATATCAGACCAACTCAGGTAAACAGGTATCAGGTAAATCAACCCCTCAGGTAAACATGTATCAACCCTGGTAAATACCAGACCAACTCAGGTAAACCTGTATCACCCCTGGTAAATACCAGACCAACTCAGGTAAACATGTATCAACCCTGGTAAATACCAGACCAACTCAGGTAAACATGTATCAACCCTGGTAAATACCAGACCAACTCAGGTAAACATGTATCAACCCTGGTAAATACCAGACCAACTCAGGTAAACATGTATCAACCCTGGTAAATACCAGACCAACTCAGGTAAACATGTATCAACCCTTGTAAATACCAGACCAACTCAGGTAAACATGTATCAACCCTTGTAAATATCAGACCAACTCAGGTAAACAGGTATCAACCCTTGTAAATACCAGACCAACTCAGGTAAACAGGTATCAACCCTTGTAAATACCAGACCAACTCAGGTAAACAGGTATCAACCCTTGTAAATACCAGACCAACTCAGGTAAACAGGTATCAACCCTGGTAAATACCAGACCAACTCAGGTAAACAGTTATTAACTGAGGTAAATATCAGACAAGCTTGGATAAACAGCTACCAAACCTACTATGCATTTCATGATAGAGAACTAAGGATTTGGTGTTATCACTTTTGTTTGTACTTCCAAGACCTATATGTTTGGTGATGAAGATGTCAGTGACCTGGGAAACAGGTAAATAGTTTACCTTATCAGTTACTGTTATATCAGCCGTAAATGATGAATAATTATTTTATAGTTGTCTGTAAAGAAGGACGTCTGGATGCAAAACAATGCAGACAAATCATCATTAACTATACCGTTTTTGCTCCAACTCTTTTGGCCAGTCCTGTTTTATAGATGACTAACTTCATTTCCACACATTTTTCTTATACGTGCTAAAATGATAATTGGTTTACTTGCCCCTGTCATAGACATTTACCTCGGGTGTGTTGTCTGCTTCCTGCAGGGCCTGTTTTAATAATGTCTGTTGTTGGAAGTAGTCCACAATGGCAACCTTCAGCTTTTCATCTTTTCTTTTGTCATATTCGTCTGAGCACATCCAGTAGTTCTTATGAGAAACACTGAAACATTAACAAAATCTGATTTAAATCTCCTACAGCATTTAGAGACGGAAAAGGTTCTAACAGAATTTCTCCTTAGCTGAAGAATTATACAGAGAAGTCTTCCACAAAGGAAATCCTGAATCGTCTAATGCAATGCTTGAAGAGACATTCAGCATTCAACAATGGCAATTTCACTGTCCTAACCTCAAGCAAGAACTTCTTTTTCCTTTTATGTTGTTGGTTTTTGAAGGATTATTGATTTTTAGATCTACTATTGATAATTTCACAGTGGTTGAGAAGGTGCCGAGTAACACATTCACCTTTCACTTAAGTGTCCCAGGTTTGTAACTGGAACGGAAGCGAAAAGGTGCAGTGTCACTTGCCTGACCATGTGGGTTTTCTCTAGGTACTCTAGATTCCTTCCACACTAAGACTTCTTGCATGCTTCCATCAGGGCCAACAAGAGTGATTAACATAACCTTAAAGCTTGTTTCGTAATTGTTGTAATATAAAGAAGGTTCATATTCATAATTTCACAGACATTCATTCCACCATTATAACCTCTGACCTCGGGTAGACACATATCACCCCAGGCATACGTAGATTCTGATACTACCTTGCGCAATTGTAATTGCTCTTTGTACATTGTTTCCTGTCTTTTTTCTTTTTAAATCATTACTTATTTTTTGTGAATACCTCTCAAATAACTACTGATAATAATCTTAAACTGTCAAATCCAAGATGGCCACCTGTCAACCATTTTGTATTTCTGATGCGTATCAAAATTTTTCAATGCATAACCATGCTATGACCCATTCAGTTCTTTATAGTAATAACATTTTAACCTCATTTGTCAGAATCTAAAAAAGGCCACCTGTCAGCCATTTTGTTTCCCTGATCCGCCTAAATATCAAGGGGAATCTTACTACAATAATTCATGGAAGATAAATCTAGGACAATCCAAGATGATAACAAATCTTCATTATCAAAATCTAAGATGGCCACCTTTTCAGCTATTTTGTTTAGATCATTTATGATTCTATATATCATTACAAAATTATCTTGTATTCTTGGGAACTCCAAGGAAATCCGAGGGAACCCAGCCTAATTCTTTATATAAGATATCATGGTTGGTATCTGCACAGTCCTGTTATTACAGCTGATAATTGAACTGATCTGAAATCTTTTTAGATATAATGAGGAATTGTCCTATATGATAACAGTATATTCTAGTAAAGGTCTTATATATAAAATGTAAATTGTTGTAAGAGTTTATCTATCAAGTTTGTATTTCATCATTCTTAAAATACTAATTCTATTCCATGTACATGCTTTCTGTTCGACCAAGATGTTTAAGAATATTTACAACTTTAACTGGTTCAGTATATAAATATATATCTGGATGATAAGGTTTTTTGAAAAAAATAACTGATTCTATTTTAATCAGATTAAATTTAATATCCAATCTCTTAGCTCCATGTTGAATATAAGATAAATCATCAGTCAGCTCAACAGGATTATCATCAATGACTGTAGACCATCATGTATCATCTACAAATAACTTTAAAACATTTGAAACACAGTTAATATCACTGATATACCATAAAAACATAATTGGACCAAAAACAGATCCCTGGGGCACCCCTGCACATACTGGCTTGAAAGTAGAAACATATTCCCTCTGTTTGTACTTTTGTTTCCTATATATAACAAAGTTTTAAAACCAAATGAGTAATTCCCCTTTAATTATTTATATAAAGGCTCTTTGTGTCATATCCTGTCAAATACTTTACTAATGTCACAAAAAACAAATCTTAAGTGAACAGTTGAGTCTTTAGAATCCTGATTGATACATAGTAATAACATTATGTTTTATGAGATTGTTTTAAGTATTTAAATGTATTTTTTCAATCATTTTCCTTAATCAATAAGTAATAGACATGGTTCTATAGTTCGATAAATTATTTATTAAACATTTTATCGTTGATAGATATCATTTATATTGGCACTTTTCCAACTAAGGGGAATAACTCCACTTTAGATTGTCTTTGTAAAGAGTAAAGTTAGAGGAATATTCAGAGTTAAAATTTCTTCATTATTTTAAGTACCATATGATCAGGTCCAAATAGGAGGAGATATTACAGCATTCTACCTAGACTTTTATTAGTTTAATCTATTGAGGTTACAGATGTTGGAGTTATTTGTGCAGGTTCATCAACAAAGCCTGTGTTCCAGTAAATGACCTACATTTCTGGTCTGTATATATACACACAACCAAGAAGAAATTTGCCAAATTTGATGTGTAACTCTAGCTGTAAAATTTTAAATCAAGTTACCTTTAAGTATATTATTTTCATGATGAATTAGCACACATCAACACCAGTGGCCCTACTGATGATATGAATAAGTATTGATAGAAATATCAGAATCTGCAACTTCTGTAGAAAGACCAGTTTTAGTAAGACATTTTACATCATTTTCATGGAATTGTCAACTTTATTTCTTCATAATGGAACTTTTAGGAGTGATGTATCAAGACTGTGCAGAGGCCGTGGATTTAATTTAACATCATTGGAAATAACGGCCAACTAACACATAATCAATATGTAGAAGACACAATTTCTATGGATTAAACTATTAGGTAGAGTGACAAAAATACAGTTAGAGAAATATGTAGAGTAATAATCTATCACTTTAAATCTCTATTGTCTCTCTAATACACTATCTACACAGAGTTTATTGGCGACTTAGATGAGAGACACTTGGTATAACTGCTTTCATCATGATACTGGTATTTGTTCATTTCAATAATACACGCAGAGTAGTGTGAGCTGCGAGAGATCGATAAGGTTTTAATGTTGCCTTTAATATTACAGTTTGTAATTACTTATGACTCAATTAACACATACAGAAATCATAAACATTATGAAAATGAGACACCAATTTAAAAAAAAAAGAAGAAAAAACAAGAGGCTCATGGGCCTTAATGGTCATCTGGCATAAAATACAAGATTTCAAATTTTGAACTTAAGAAGAATTCGAAAATGTGTTTTCAAGATGGCAGCCATGTTGGATTTCTGACCACCCCGAAATTAACAAACTTTGGTCAGGATCATTTGAGGTAAGTTTCAGCTCAATGAGACATGTAGAACTTGAGAAGAAGTTGAAAATGTTTACAACAGACGACGCTGGACAAAAGGCGATCACAATAGGTCATCAGACCAAAGGGTCTGATGACCTAAAAACCTCATAACATGAGTACAAATCTTAAAATATTGAAAATATTGATTAATCTAGATACTTCTAGTTCAATTTAACAGACACGTGCTTATGTATATGTATACTGATGACCATGCCGATGGAGCCTGATTTACAGACATGAGACGAATATTGACCCACAAAGCAAAAAAAATGAAACTTGAAAACACTTATATTTCAAGGTGGAATATACATTGATATCAAAATCTGTTTAAAATATGTCTAAATAAAGCGTTTGTTTTGTGAACAATTCTGAATCCTGTGTATTGATCCTAAATAGAGCTAACAAGTAACAATGGATACCTCCTGAATTAAGTGATATTTGTAGTCAAACTTCTATGATTCGAACTCTGATGATTCATATTTCTTGATGTATCAAAGTTTTTGTTCTGTCCCAAATTTTATTCCTATATATTACTACTAACAATATATAAGCCTTGGAGCCTAATCTTACTTATGGACTTAGTGGTCACCAGAGAATCAAAACAACAGGTAAACAACTTTACATTGTCTCAGTGTCACCACTGATTTATACCACGTATAATTATCCTAGTTTAAAAGCAAGCAAAGTTATGTTTTCAGATTTCAAATTTTAACATTAAGGGCAATATTTCTGTAAATAAGGGGTTGTAGGTAGTGGTGTTATGATAGGTTAAATTAGTGATGTATTGTGATAGTTTGGCTCTTGATAGCTATAGGTTCATAGCATATCTTCAAGTTGATAACTATTGAGATTATTCTTTCAACTATCATTCATTACTTGAAAACAAGATTTTTCACGGAGCTAATAGCCAAATGTCTGTATAGCTTTTGTATACTTATGAAACATCTCTGATATCAGCATTTTGATTACAAAAGTTCTCAAAACTATTCACAAGGGAACCCCTGTTTATGAAAACACAGGCACCTTCATTTGGTAAATAGCTATGTCATCATACCTTTGGTAGGCATATATTGGTATATAATTAAAGATAAAAACTTTGTGTATCGTATATACAGAGAAAATTAATCACATAACATGACAAACAAATATATCACTAACGTATATATATATATTTTCCAAGAGAAAGGTTGAAATATATGACATGGCTGTGCTAACAATGTTATAAAGTGTGTCAAAACCAAATGATTATATCATTGTTGGATTAAATTTTCACCTTTTAAAACATTAAATAAAGAAATGAAAAATAAAGAGAAAATTCATACTAAATTTTTTGTAAAACTAACACCAAAATGAAATTAATATTGTACGGTCCTAAGTGTAAGTAAGTGTATGAGTTTTATCGTAGATATCACAGAATAATATGTAATATTATATAAAATAAACAATATAAAAATTTAACAAACTGTACAAAGTACCACAGTGCAACACACTTTATATATTTTTTCAGCTATAACATTTGTAAACTGAGCATTCCGATACATTTAATAGGTTAATGACCCTGCTTTACTTCTGAGTAAGAAAAACATCATTCAAAGGTAAAACAAAAAATTCATACTATTGTGATATTCACTGGAATATTGTTATCATCATGACGCCTTTTTTGGCCACAATAGTCATCCCCAGTTGTGGGCCTTGAATCTAGAACACTGCTCATCACCTTGGTATAACTGATGTACAGACCAAGTCTCCTGATCTTTGCTTTACTGCCGGCAAAGTTATGTTTTGTACACAAAATGGCTGGATGGAAAGTTGGATGGATGGACAAAGCACCAACTTTATGCTCCGCCCGAACGTTTTTGAGCTAAATGGTAAAACC